AGAAACAGAAAATAAGACCTTGAAAGGCTATCAACTGACTGAATGCCATCTTCCAAATCCTCTTCCTCATATTGCTCTTCCACTTCCTCTTCTTCCTCTTCCTCCTCTTCTTCCTCTAAATCGCCCCAATGTTTTGTCTTATCCACTGGCTCTTCCAGTAATAATTTTATATTAACTTAATTTATTACAAAATACAAAATTGAGAATAGATTACACCGTTTACCGATATTCAACTTATTATTGATATTAATTTTATAAGAAAAGGTAAAAATGTTTTTGTGAAACAGATTTAATCATACACAGAAAACAAAAATGTTAACCAAATATTATTTTCAAGTTTTTCTTTTCATTTTAGGGTTTTATGCAGAAAACTCCCATGAATGTCAACCAACGGTATAATCGACCAAACTCGAAATAAGATAAGAGAACCTATTTACACCAACATCAAAAGTAATAAAGAATGATTTATCAATTATCATCATACCAAAAGGAGGAATAAGTGTTATTATGTATAATATTATACCCCTGTTTAGCAAGCTCTTGAAGAAGTAGCCCAATTGCCTGTTCCAACATCAAGAACACTCCATCCTGCTAAATCTTTATCCTCTTGACTAAAACAATTCACAAGCCTCCTTGTTCTTCATATTGGAATTCATATCTTCAACATTCACAAGCCTAAAAAAATTCACAAGCCTCTTCTGAGAGAAGGTTAAGTTCTTCCTGCTCTTTCTCATTGAACCAACCACTAGTACATGCACTCTATCAATATACAAATAAAAAAGAAAGAAACATGATTACTGCAATAACAAAAAGTGAAAATTATACACTTGATTGTATTTGTATAACATTAGTACCTTTACAGAGATCATTAGCACCATAACAGTTGCTTGCAATTGTGATTCATATTTCCGCTGACATACCTAATCACATAGTAGTGTCATCAGAATTTGTTTCTGGAAGCATATTCAATTATGAACACTTAAAGAGAAGTTATCACTTATCAACAATAGTGGAAGAAAAAAAAAGGTAACCTGTTTTATCAAATAGGGAAGATCTGGAGCTCTTCCAGAGATTTCATTGTTAGCAACAGCATAGTCAATACCTCTGTAATTGTCAATATGTATCATAGTCAGTAATTAAGAGACATATATGAGTTTTATAGTTCAATAGCTTACAATCCTACATAAATAAAGTGTAGCTCTTTCTTGAACAACTGAGAATGTTCTTTTTTCCCAAATCACATGAACTTTTTAAAATCAGCTTCTGTATGTTTGTGAGAAAAATGTCGGGCTGAACTCATCAATTAGGGCTTGAAGTACTTATAATCAGAGCACTTTCGTCATACTCATAGACAAACAAAATATACACATCATGCGTAAGAATAATTCATACATTTTGTCAGCCTAACCTTATCATCAATCACTCTACAAAGATGAAATAGGCAGAGGTTAGTCTAAATTAACATGAAAAAGGGTAAGGAAACAAATACAAGTGCCAAGTAGAAAATGTGAAGTACTAACTAGACCATAATCACTGAACTTCAAATAATACCGATTTTATAAATATTTAAGAATGGAAGAATGTTAATCCTCTGTACAAGAATTATATATGTAGAAGTAGAATAGAAAAGAAAAAGAAGAGGTGAGGAGAGGAGATGACCTAAAATCAGAATCTGCAATTGAAAAAACATGACGATCTAGCTCCCCAAATGCTGCTCCTTTGTAGTGTTACATCATTGTGAAGTCGTTGAATAAGAGAAAATAAATACACTTGAGAGAATTCATCGGTGTCTTAGTCGATAACTTGTACCAAAAAACCCTAAATCGCTATGAGAGAGGAGTGAGGCCTGAATCGCTTTCATTGAGATGGGATATCTTGAAGCGGAGATGTATAGCAGTCCGATAGGGCAAGGATACTTTACTCATGCGGCACAACCGGACGAATCAAGGGTGTCGAGCTAACCCACAGCAAATCGATTGAAGTTCATGCCTCGAACCTTGCAGTCGCCGTAAAAAACATACAAAAGTATTGGGCTAACAATATACGTATAGTTGCTGGTCGCCATTTTGTGATCTTTAGGAATGAACACGAGTTTTTAAGAAAAAAAATTGTAGAATGGTTATATGAATTGTCGAGGTGTATAGCAGAGATGATATCGTGATTAGGGTTTGCAGAGAGAAGGGAAGAAGAGAACGAAGGGAGATCTGAAGCGGGGCATTTAAAAATTTTAGAATTTTAAGAGAATTTCGTTTCACACTTTTAAGAAACGCCCTTTTGAGTAAAAACATAAAGCGACACTGAGAGAGGACGCACATTTTAGATAAAGTGCCCTCCGTGTTTTTAGTTTTTTTACATGAGACGCTAATTTAAGGGCACACAATAATGCGTGACCTAAATCCTTAAATTTTTTGAAGAGATGACACTTTTTTAATGTCACTCTCTTTTGCGTAGCATAAATCAATGAGTGTCGTGGTTTGCGCGTCGTAAAATGGTCTTTTTTCTTGTAGTGCTCTAAAGGTGTCGCTGCTATTTTTTTTTATTTTTTTTTGAGAAAAACAATTTTTTTTATGATATTAGTTTATATATATTATAAAATGCAGATTTAATAAAAATACATAAATAAATACATACCACATTACATAAAACATCAAACATACCATATTACATATCTAATAAATCCCAAATAAACATCTAATATATAATCCATAAACTATCTAATAAATCCAAAATAACATCATCCATAACATAAAACAAGAAATATTATGTGTCTTCGTCTTTGTCTTCCCCATCATTGTTTTCCTCGTTGTCTTCGCCGGAAATCGCCGATGGAGAGGTGAGGGGTTTTGTTTGTTGTCACCTGTTCCGAGACACGATTCAGGGGTAAAGGGGACAAACCCTTTAGCGGTGACAGTATTGCGGCGACAATGCGATAATTGCGGCGACTAGATGGAGGGAACAGATCTCGCGTCTTTTTTTTTGGTGACTAGTAGCGACGACGACGACGTTTCTATTGGCGTCGCCGCTATTGCTTTGATACAGAGTAACCCTGCCCGTTGGATCACATCAAAAAGGAACGACCGCGATTGAATCTAGGCGAAGTCACACGGATCGACGATCTAGACTATTAGAGACGACCCTTTAGTGGCGACGGGGGCTTTTAGCGACGACAAAAACGTGTGTTGTCATGTGTCGCCGCTAATACCCTTGTCGTCTCTAATACTGTGGCCCCTAATACCTTTATTTCTTGTTGTGTAAAAAAAATATTTGATAGTTTTTAATAATTAAGGCCCTCGTTTTTTGTTAGAAAAAATATAGGGAAGGGGATCAAATTTACAATAAAAATGTGCCTCCATTGAAACTAAATGATGGTAATGGACGTATCAAACTTATTAGAATCGGAACATTTTAATTGGCAATTAAGCAATTTTTAGAAAATAAATCTAAATTCCAATTCTCAGATTTTTTAACGTTCTAAAAAACAATAAATAACTTCTCAATATTTAAATTTTTGGATGCGGTTGTTATTACTATTTTGGACGATTTGATCTTTCCAAAATAGACTATTGTTTGTGAAAGATAAACCCTTTAAGGCGGTGATTTGGGATTCTATTAAACCTCAATCTTTCACATGGATTAGCTCTAGATTTTCTAAGTTCAAAGTTAATTGGTTGATTGGATGAAAAATCGGTCTTTTATAATCCATAAATGTACTTTTTTTCTAATTTTTGCTAGATTTTAATGCTCAATGTTGTCGTTCTACAAAAAAAAATCTAGGTATTTAGGGCTGCCTATTGTAAAAACTTAGTACCCTGGCGGTGGGTAACATACAAATGGTTCTTTACACCCCGTTCCCAAGTTCAACTTAACGAGAGAAAAGAAATGAAATGGATGGAAGTGAGAGAAAAGTAAAATAAATTAGTGTTTCTTAGTTTCATTAAAGGAGGGAAGTGGAAGGAAGTGGAATGAAATGAGATGATCACTTTCTCTCCTAACTTTCTTTCCGATTTGGACGGATTTGGAGAGAAATAACAAAATATTTAACTTTTCTTTCACTTCTCTCCGACTCGGGAACACGAAAGACAAATTTATTTTTCTTTCCTTTCTCTTCTTTTCTCTCCTACTTTATTTTCTCTTTTTTTTTTTCTTTGCTAAAGTCGGGAACGAGGCGTTACTGTTAAAGTAAGGACATTTAGACGTTCACACAGACAAAGTTAACTCAAAGCATATCTATAGTTTTGGTGCTCCACACCAACGATTAAAAATTGGTTTGAAACGGCCGGTCGAATCGGTTGGACCAAAAACAGGGTAAAGAGTTAACTAGCATTGATTTTATACTTACTTTTGAAACGGAAGGAACCGATTGGTTTTTCCAAAAATCTAGTTGAATGATATAAACCGATTCGAGATGGTCAATCTCCAAGATAAGACCAATTTAAGATGGCTAATCTCCCAAAGAAATAAGAAACACAAACATAGATACTTTACTGATAATTCTTCTCATCCCCCAAAACAATGAAAATACATCCAAATATATAACAATGCAAAAGTCTAAAAACTAGGAAGTGGAAAACATGGCTAACCGTAAATTAACTAGTCTACTCTTTCAATGCAAAATACATTAAACAAATAATTAAATAAAATGCAAAGGAAGTGGAAGCAGTAACATGCAAGCAAGACGTGGGTGACTTTCATCTAAGGCGTGGGTTCCATACAAAGTTATTAGTGACACTCCAGAAACTGTTGCATACTATGTCACCACAACTTATCCATTTAATGTATATACCAATATATGATGGATCCGGCCATGGAGGTGGCCTTGTGTATAAGCCTAGACACATATCAATTCCTCCGCCCTTAAAATTGACCTCGTCCTCGAGGTCCAACAAGCAATTGTTGAGAGTAAGGAGGGTGAGAAAGCATTGGTCGAACAGACAAAAAAATAGTTTGACATGTCGGATATGTTCATAAGTAGTTGTCAATGGCGGTTGTGGGAGCGGTTCCTATGGTGATGGGGGCGACGGCGGTTGTATCTTCGATTGAATTGGTGAAGGTGGGGTTGCCGACAGTGTTAACGGTGGATATGTCGGTGTTGTTAGCAGCAACGGTTGTGATGGGGATGTCGGTGGCAGTGGTTGTGACGTGATATCCCCCATATTTGTGTTTTTGATCAATGTGGTGGTGGGGATTTCAGTGATCTCAGTTAGCTTGGCAATGATGGCATCGATGCGGTTGTTGTTGGCGATAGTTATAGCAACTAGTTGAGCCAATTGATCGGCCATGGAGGCAAAAGACTGATCTTCCAATGGAGAATGGTGGTGAGGAGGCATTGCAAGGTCGGGAATGAAAGCACCAATTGATATAAACTGATTCGAGATGGTCAATCTCCAAGATAAGGCCAATTTCAGATGGCTAATCTCCAAAAAAAATAAGAAACACAAACATAGATACTTTATTGATAATTCTTCTCATCCCCAAAACAATGAAAATACATCCAAATATATAACAATGCAAAAGTCTAAAAACTAGGAAGTGGAAAACATGGCTAACCGTAAATTAACTAGTCTACTCTTTCAATGCAAAATATATTAAACAAATAATTAAATAAAATGTAAAAGAAGTGGAAGGAGTAACATGCAAGCAAGACGTGGGTGACTTTCATCTATGGCGTGGGTTCCATGCAAAGTTATTAGTGACACTCCAGATGCTGTTGCATACTATGTCCCCACAACTTATCCATTTAATGTATATACCAATATATGATGGATCCGGCCATGGAGGTAGCCTTGTATATAAGCCTAGACACGAATCATTGAATATGATAAATTGAATAAAAACACATAGAAATGAAACACTTTCCATTATAAATTTTGGTCATCTTTTTCACATCAATTTAGATTTCTTCGAATAAAAACACATGATAATGATGTGAAGTTTTTTTATACGTTTCTATGCATATAAAACTATATTTTGTTTCTGTATTATATTTATTTTTTTTAAATATACATGGATTTATATAAAATTTTTGGTTATATGTTTTTTTAGTGTATTTGAATTAATCTACAACTTATTTTTATATGTATATTTTTAATGTATGAACTTGTGGACGTCAAATTCTTGATATTTTTATATACGTTTGGGTAGGAAAAAGATAAAAAATGATTAAAAGTATAGAAACCGGTTTGCACACGTGTCAAACCGATTAAACAGGTTCAACTAAAAAATAGGTTTTTTAAACATTGGTTCATACAAATAGAAATTAAACTAAAAATTACTCTACAAATTTTGTCTATTTTACAACATCCTCTATCTATCATACAAATTAGTGAAACATGCATTTTATGTGCATGAATTAAATTTTTTAAATGGAAAAATCACCTCCTATATTTAAATAAAGACGTAATCATTATTATTTTTTGGTTTTTGATTAAGTAATCTATTTAGTTAAATGTATAAAATAAAATAGGGTATATTTAATACAATTTTAATGATTAATATGATAATATTGGGGACATAAATGGTGTATTGTTTTTTTTTTATTAAAACCTTAATACAAACTAATGTTAGATTTCAAGAATATGATATATACTTAAAAAGAATTAACGTATATAATAGACGACTTTATAGCATACGATAACGATGACAGTTAATTACTTAATTAATTTAAAAAAACTTTTGGAAATATATCTATTATAAAGGTTTTGACGACAGGATTTTATTAAATATATTATTAGTAAAATATTTATATAACAAAAATAATAAATATTTAAAATCTAAACAAGTACTTTGAGAGTTAAATTGGAAATGGAAATCCCACAACAATATTTCATATTTTAAAAACTAAGATATTTTTGTTGAGGGTTGTACCACACATCTCATGGCCCATGCATAAGAATAATGGTGTCAATTTGTGGTTAGGAATCCTTTCACATAAAAATGATGATTCATTAGAAAACAAAAACGATGATCATCTATTTCACATCAATTTAGATTTCGCCAAATAAAAACACATGATAATATTGTGAAGTTTTTAGATGCGTTTGTATGCATCTAAAACTATATTTTGTTTCAGTATTATATTTATTTTTTTAATATACATGGATTTATATAAAAAATTTGGTTATATGTTTTTTTAGTGTATTTGAATTAATCTATAATTATTTTTATATGTATATTTATAATGTATGAACTTGTGGACGTCAAATTCTTTATATTTTTTTATACGTTTGTGTAGGAAAAAGAGAAAAAATGATTAAAAGTATAGAAACCGATTTGCACACGTGTGAAGCCGATTAAACAGGTTCAACTAAAAAATTGGTTTTTTAAACATTGGTTCACACAAATAGAAATTAAACTAAAAATTACTATACAAATTTTGTCTATTTTACAACATCATCTATCTATCATACAAATTAGTGAAACATGCATTTTATGTGGATGAATTAAATTTTTAAATGGAAAAATCACCTCTTATATTTAAAGACGTAATCATTATGATTTCTTGATTTTTTATTAAGTAATCTATTTAATTAAATGAATAAAATAGAATAAAGTATTTTTAATACAACTTTAATGATTAACATGATAATATTGCGGCCAAATAATGGTGTATTGTTTTTTATTTATTAAAAGCTTAATATAAACTAATGTTAGATTTCAAGAATATGATATATACTTAAAAAACACTTACACTACTAGAAAAACAGCCTTTTACGACGCGCAATGCGTGTTGTAAAACGCTCAGACGACGCGCAAATGCGTGTCGTAAAACGCTCAGACGACGCGCAAATGCGAGTCAAGAAGGCCCTGTCATAACGAGAGACGGCGCGTTTTTGCGCGTCGTCTGTTTACGACGCGCAGTTATGACGCGCAATGCGTATCAAGGAAGGCCATGTCATAAAGAAAGATGACACGCATTTGCGTGTACTAACCTTACGACGCGCATGTTTATGACACGCAAAGTGTATCAAGGAAGCCCATGTCATAAAGGTAGACGACATGCCATTGCGTGTCGTAACTTTACGACGCGCCTTTACGACTCGCAATGTGTATCATTAAATCTACTGTCATAAACGAAGATGACACACATTTGCATGTCATAAATTCCAGCTGCCAGTTACTATACACCTTTACGACGTGCATTTACGACACACATTTACAACGTGAATACACATAATAAAAGACAAATATATATACCAGAACATTAATTTTCATCTAAACGTCAAACAACTTACCTAACAACATTACATATATGTCGAATTACCTAAGTTACACTACATGTCACGTTACCTTAAGTAACATTACTAAAAGTTAGCAAAAACATGTACATGCGTGTCAAAAGACTGCCTAGCATTACACAACATGTCAAAAGACCATACCTAGCATTTCATTGTTAACCATAACATTGTTTTGCGGATACATTGTCAAAAGACCATACATATCATCGATAAATGAAGCCTGTAACAAACTCTCTGGCCATTTTCACGTATCTCATCGATATCATCAGTTGTGTAATCAACTTTGCCATCCTCGATCTGTGAAAAAATTTGCATATTGTTTTTATTAATAAAAAATAGCATATTAACATATTCTGTAACAGTAAGTTGGTATATTTAACAAATAAGCATAAAATGTAAATTATTATTTCTTAATAGAGCGTTGTACTTTCAAATGAATGAAAGCACATTTTATTTTTGCATGTAACCTAATATTTCAATTATAATTATGGGAGTAGGATGCCATAAAATGATCCTTTTTCAATTCCTTTCCTATTAAATTATAGTAATGAAAGTAGAATGCTATATCCTTACATAGTCTTTGACCAACACTTCAATTCCTTCTTCCACTATCTCCTTCATGAACCTTAGCGTGTAGTAGCCACATTCGGTAACTCCGGGCTGAACTGGACACTACACAATTACATATAAAATGATCATTGCAATTGATCCAAAAAATAAAGTTAAAACTACAATTTCAATAAGGAATTAAGTGCTGACCGTAACATTAACTCAATTTAGTTTAACCCTTTTGTTGGATCCACTCTGTGTAGCGTACATAACCATTTCCCTATAAAAAATATTAATAAATAGGTGTTTATTGTATTCACATCAAATGTTTTGATAATTTATATTACTTACGAATCAACAATTTGCTTCAACTGCATATTGAAATTGCCAGAACTCAAGGAATCAAGATAATAGCAATTATCCGATTTCATGTCTAGTACACCCAATACCCAATGTCTTCTACAAAAGCCACAAACAAAATTAAGTCAAATAACATAATTGCAGTCATTTTCAAAATAAAATGTCAAAATCAAACCCGGGATTATAGGGCATAAAGATGATGTCATTGCCCTTTCTTTTAGACAACCGATCTGCTAAACCTCTGTTTGCATCGTCAATATTCTTAGATTTCCGTTTACGCGTACTTGGCGAGATTAATGTCGGGTTCACAAAGCAAATTCCATGATCTCTTTCTGGGGAGCCATACTTCATTTTGTTAAACAACACCCTGTTATCATACAAACACTAAATTCATTAAAAAAATTTGTTTTAAGACACAATGTTATTTAAATTAAATTTCTTGCACTTACATCATATAAGACACAATAACAGCACCAGTCAGCTCATCCATTGTAAGAACTGCTTCAAAATCATCCCAAGTTAAGTACGTGTAACTATCGTAGCCAAAAAGATCGTTCTCACTCTGCACTTTTATAGAATCAACCTTTGTAACTTGTCCATCAGCCATAAGGTTGACTGCTTGGAAACTCATACTCACAGAAAGATCGTTCCCATCAGATTCCCCCAAAATAGATAGCGATGCTTGGAAACTCATACTCACAGAAATATCTTAGGCTCTTGTTTTAAATGGATTTAGAGGAAGGCTGAGTCTCAAAATTGAGGGTGAAGATTTTGTGACTTTGGTGACTAAATCAACTCACCAAGACACTGCAACAAGGATGACTACTACTGTACACAGAGCTTACAACACAGGCAGATCCACAAGGTTGACTGCTAAGAAATATTCCCAAGTGATGAAGAGGGAAACAAGTGAGCTTGTAAGAATTAATTTGTTGATGGATGAAGTGAAGGATTTGGGTGACACCATAGAAGAGAAACCCTATGCGATTACTTGGGATGGAGCCTTAAGGATTGAGAAGGTTGTTGATGAAACTGGAAGTAGAGAAAAGAAGGTCAACAAACGGAAGGTGAAATCAGTTGAAAGAAATGAGCAACTTGAGGCTATGGATGTAGGGCTTTACATGAACGAAATGGATAAATCTGGCCAAGTAAACAAGACTAACCTCGTTGGATTGCTTAGAGATGATGTTGGACAGTTGAAAGAACTTGAGGGGAAGACTCTTGTTTTAAGCACCAAAGAAGAGCCAAAGTTTGATGAACCTGAAGAGAAACATCTCACAAGGGAGTTTGATAAAGAGAAGTTGAAGGGATTTTTCGTCTCTTTTCTCGGGCCACTGACATTATACTTACACGGTTAGCCAATCCTTTCTTCACCTTGAGGACAAGGTGAAAGTTTGGGATAAAAAGCAGACCAAATGTTCGCAAGATGAAAGAAGGGGATAAAAACATTACATACAACTTGAGAAGCTTGAGATTTACCTTGTGTTCAACTTGAGAAGCTTCAGTAGGTTAGAAACCCTTGAATGTGTTCAATTTAGCATCAGATTCATGGCTACCAGACGCTTCTTCCCCTTGTGTCGACTTTCTTCTGCTCTTTCTCTTCTGTTACTTGGATCTCTCGCCAACCGGGAAGTTCACTTTGCCTAAATCGTTTCAACAGGAACACCTTAATCGGACCTAGGGCACGTAAATTTGAGCAGTCTCCAATGATGTCCGTTGAGCCCAAGGTCGTCGGCGAGGCGAAATCAACCGGAGGAGAAGTAACCTAACGTCGTCGGAGGAGATGTTGTCTGCAAGGGGAGGCGAGTCGAGGTCTCAGAGTCGATCGATTGTAGAGAGTGAAGTGACTGATGAACACTGAGTGTTAGGATATTTTAGTAGTAACCTTGATTATTGTAACAAGAGACGCGCGCCTTTCATTAAAAATATAAGTCGACATTTATTGAGATGACACACATTTTACATAAAGTGCCCTCCGTGTTTATAAGTTTTTTACATTAGACACTAATTTAAGGGCACGCAATAATGCGCGCCCTAAATCCTTAAATTTTTTGAAAAGATGACACTTTTTTAATGTCACTCTCTTTTGCGTAACATAAATCAATGAGCGTCGTGTTTTGCGCGTCGTAAAAGGGTAATTTTCTTGTAGTGTTAACGTATATAATAGACGACTTTATAGCATATGATAACGATGAGAATTAATTACTTAATTAATTTTAAAAAAACTTTTGGAAAGATACCTATTATAAAGGTTTTGACGATAGGATTTTGTTAAATATATTAATAGTAAAATATTTATATAACAAAAATACTAAATATTTAAAGTCTTAACAAGTATTTTGAGAGTTCAATTGGAAATGAAAATGCCACAACAATATTTCATATTTTAAAAACTAAGATCTTGTTGTTGAGGGTTGTACCACGCACATCATGGCCCAAGCATAAGAATAGTGCTGTCTATTTATGGGTATGAATCCTTTCATATAAAAATGACGATTCGCTAGAAAAACAAAAACGATGGTCATCTTTTTCACATCAATTTAGATTTCTCCGAATAAAAACACATGATAATGTTGTGAAGTTTTAGATGTGTTTCTATGCATCTAAAACTATATTTTGTTTCGGTATTATATTTATTTTTTTAATATACATGGATTTATATAAAATTTTTGGTTATATGTTTTTTTTACTTTATTTGAATTAATCTACAACTTATTTTTATACGTATATTTTTAATGTATGAACTTGTGGACGTCAAATTCTTGATATTTTTATATATGTTTGTGTAGGAAAAAGAGAAAAAATGATTAAAAGTATAGAACCCGGTTTGCACACGTGTCAAACCGATTAAACAGGTTCAACTAAAAAATTGGTTTTTTCAAAATTGGTTCACACAAATAGAAATTAAGCTAAAAATTACTCCACAAATTTTGTCTATTTTACAACATCCTCTATCTATCATACAAATTAGTGAAACATGCATTTTATGTGGATCAATTAAATTTTTAAATGGAAAAATCACTTCCTATATTTAAAGACGTAATCATTATTATTTTTCGGTTTTCGATTAAGTAATCTATTTAATTAAATGTATAAAATAGAATAGGCTATATTTAATAAAACTTTAATAATTAATATGATGATTCACTAGAAAACAAAAACGATGATCATCTTTTTCACATCAATTTAGATTTCTCCGAATAAAAACACATGATATTGTTGTAAAGTTTTTTGATATGTTTGTATGCATCTAAAACTATATTTTGTTTCGGTATTATATTTATTTTTTTAATATACATGGATTTATATAAAATTTTTGGTTATATGTTTTTTTAATGTATTTGAATTAATCTACAACTTATTTTTATACGTATATTTTTAATGTATGAACTTGTGGACGTCAAATTCTTGATATTTCTATATACCTTTGTGTAGGAAAAAGAGAAAAAATGATTAAAAATATAGAAACCGGTTTGCACACGGGTCAAACCGATTAAACATGTTCAACTAAAAAATTGGTTTTTTAAACATTGGTTCACACAAATAGAAATTAAACTAAAAATTACTCTACAAATTTTGTCTATTTTACAACATCCTCTATCTATCATACAAATTAGTGAAACATGCATTTTATGTGGATGAATTAAAATTTTAAATGCAAAAATCACCTCCTATATTTAAAGACGTAATCATTATTATTTTTTGGTTTTTGATTAAGTAATCTATGTAATTAAATGTATAAAATAGAATAGGGTATATTTAATACAACTTTAATGATTAATATGGTAATATTGTGGCCAAATAATGGTGTATTGTTCTTTTATCTATTAAAACCGTATAATATAAACTAATGTTAGATTTCAAAAATATGATATATACTTAAAAAGGAATTAACCTATATAATAGACGACTTTATAGCATACGATAACGATGATAATTAATTATTTAATTAATTTTAAAAAAACTTTTGGAAAGATACCTATTATAAAGGTTTTGACGATAGGATTTTGTTAAATATATTATTAGTAAAATATTTATATAACAAAAATTATAAATATTTAAAATCTTAACAAGTACTTTGAGAGTTCACTTGGAAATGGAAATGCCACAAAATTATTTCATATTTTAAAAACTAAGATCTTATTGTTGAGGGTTGTACCACGCACATCATGGCCCGTGCATAAGAATAGTGCTGTCAATTTGTGGGTAGGAATCCTTTCACATAAAAATGATAATACTAGAAAACAAAAACGATTGTCATCTTTTTCACATCAATTTAGATTTCTACGAATAAAAAACACATGATAATGTTGTGAAGTTTTTTGATGTGTTTGTATGCATCTAAAACTATATTTTGTTTCGGTATTATATTTATTTTTTAATATAGATGGATTTATATAAAAATTTTGGTTATATGTTTTTTTAGTGTATTTGAATTAATCTACAAATTATTTTTATACGTATATTTTTAATGTATGAACTTGTGGACGTCAAATTCTTGATATTTTTATATACGTTTGTGTAGGAAAAAGAGAAAAAATGATTAAAAGTATCGAAACCGGTTTGCACACGTGTCAAACCGATTAAACTGGTTCAACTAAAAAATTAGTTTTTTAAACATTGGTTCACACAAATAGAAATTAAAGTTAAAAATACTCTACAAATTTTGTCTATTTTACAACATCCTCTATGTATCATACACATTAGTGAAACATGCATTTTATGTGAATGTGTTAAATTTTTAAATTGAAAAATCACCTCCTATATTTAAAGACGTAATCATTATTATATTTTGGTTTTTATTAAGTAATCTACTTAATTAAATGTATAAAATAGAATAGGGTATATTTAATACAACTTTAATGGTTAATATAATAATATTGCGGCCAAATAATGATGTATTGTTTTTTTATTTATTAAAACCTTAATATAAACTAATGTTAGATTTCAAGAATATGATATATACGTGAAAAAGAATTAACGTATATAATAGACGACTTTATAGCATACGATAATGATGAGAATTAATTACTTAAATTAATTTTTTTTTTTTGAAAAGATACCTATTATAAAGGTTTTGACGATAGGATTTTGTTAAATATATTATTAGATATTTATATAACAAAAATAATAAATATTTAAATCTTAACAAGTACTTTGAGAGTTCAATTGGAAATGGAAATGCCACAACAATATTTCATATTTTAAAAACTAAGATCTTATTATTGAGGGTTGTACCACGCACATCATGGCCCATGCATAAGAATAGTGCTGTCAATTTGTGGGTGAGAATTCTTTCACATAAAAATGATGATTCACTAGAAAACAAAAACGATGGTTACTGGATGTATACGGCTAGTTAGTTTGGGAACAATTCACGTTCTAAAATTATTCTAAGCAAACATCCTATAAATGATTCAAAAATCCATTCTTTTCCTTCATAGTCTACTTTCTTGACAATATCGGTGCATAGTACGTGATTAGTTACCGAACTAAATTCAAGGTGTCAATGACGAAAGTTGTATCAAATTTGTTTTATTGACTATATTAGTGCTTAATACTTGCGGTTATTCTCCTCTTTTCACTTGTGTGATTATGCTCATTGCAAGTTTCCTAAATTTATGAAGAATGCAAAATAGCTCATAATATTAGTTTTTGTGTATTATTGCAGCACTAGGAGTCATAGTTGATAAATCGACGAAAACAAGTGTCACTCATGCCGGAAGAGCTCGAAGCACAGCTATCAAGGAGCGCGGATGTGAAGGGGATTCAGATTGTCGTGGGTTCTGCCCACCTGGGCAACATACATTGTGTTATTATGCATTTTGTATTTGTCAGGAGCCGCTAAAATAAAATAGTATCGTTTTTCGGAAATGATGGTTGATCCATAATAAGAACTAGAAGGATGTCCGCGCTTTGTGTGGGTCACAATGATGCATGTTGAAATACAAAGAAAAACAAATTTTCACTTATATATTCACTCAACCCAAATACATACGAATATCAGTCAAAAAAATTAAACAAATTTAGAATATAATAGTTTTGAGAAGAATTCAAGTATAATTGATATCATTCTTCTTTATATAAATGCTTGCTACCTCTATAAAGATGTCTCGGCCAAACTTAGTCTCAACCAAAGTTGGGTCTTCACCAAAAAGCTTAATCTAACCGGTCTCTGCCATGGCCTTCTGAGACACCTATTGTTCAAAGACACCTATTGTTCAAGGCAAACAAAAGAGATTTTACATTAATTTTCATAAAAATAGAGTAAATTACACGAATGGTCCCTATGGCTTGGGGTAATTTACACGTTTGATCCCTAACTTATTTTTTTAACTCGGAATGTCCCTAAAGTTTG